TTTCAAATCGGTTGATCTTTGTGTCCGAAAACGAGAATAAAAAACGGTATCCATACATACTACATACACAAACACATCAATTTCTTTAAGGTATGACAAAATGTTCAGAAACCTCTAAAACAGATTTGCATACACTTTCATTTTCGTTTTTTGGACGACTACCATACTTACCCTATGGGAAGTTAAAAAGTATGTAAAAAAGTAAATGAAGGAATATGATGGTTGAATGACCCATTGGGTCGAGGCCATTAAAAGTAACAAAGTATTTTGCGATTTATATAATATTTAGGTTTTTTTTTATTACCATATAAATTCCAATATGTCTCTAGGAGACATTCAGTAATTAGAATATTAGATTGTAGGTAGTGAAAAAAGAAACTCTTAAAAGTTTACCCAGTTATTTATTTGAAGTATATATAAGTGAGAATTAGAACTTTAGCTAGAATTAAAATTAAAATTCAAATTATTTTCGATATTCAAAAAATATTTTTTGAAAATTAAAAAAAATAATAAAAAAAAGTTTTTTTTTTCATTTCCCAAAAGCAATAGTTTTGTCCACAAAAGCAGAACTTCTTTGAATCATTCAAATTGAATACTTAGTTCTCTTAAAACTGCAATTTTTTGCACATTTAGCCTGTATCTCTGAAACAACTAGAACTGCCTTTGCCAAAAAAAACTAATCACCACTTCTCCTTGTTATTACGAATTGAGTGATTTTTCTATCATTCAAATTGGATACTCCGTTCTTTCAAAAAGCGAGTATCAATTTTCTGCGCTCTTTGCTCCGTATTTCCGAAACTGCTGGACAGACCTTTCCTAAAAACTAACCAGAACTCATCTCCCATCAGTTGCAAACGATTGCTTTTTCAATCATTCAAATCGGTTTAGCGATACTCTCTAAAACGTCGACAAAAATTGTATCCACCCATACATATACACACACATCTATTTTTTCTGAGGTATGCCAAATGTTCAGAAACCTCCTAAACGTGAAGATATGCAAAAATTTCATTTTCGATTTTCGGGCCATTACTATAATTTTAATCTGAAAGTTAATAATTTCTACATAGAACTAACTTAACTTATTCCACTATTCAGTAATGATCTCTTCAATCTATGATGATATGTGGTATTATAGTCCAGTCATTAGGTAAGTTCACCTCGGAATTCGAAATACTCAGCTTAAGTCTATAAATACTTGTATATTAACACCCTAAAATTGTCGGTAGGGTTTTCAATACCATATGTAGGTTTTGAGACAACTTTAAGGGTGTCAATATACAAGTATTTACAGACTTACAGCTGGGTATCTCGATTCCGAGATTCTTACCTAATTTAAGATTAAATGACTGGACTATTATACAGTTGATTTCCTAATATATTGGGTGACATTTTATTTTTGTTTTATTGTTTTATGCTATATTGTTTATTTCTCATTTATTGTGTGGGACATTTGCAACTTGGCGAAGGAGCCATGTAGGCACGTATTTCGAGCAGAGAGAACATCGCGTAGAATTTTTTTTGAAGTCTTTGAAAGATTTGGTCGTAGTATAATATTGAAGTGTTTTTTAAATTACGTCGTCGGTAATAATTCAACGATCTGAATCTGAATCTGAAACGGAATCGTCGTTTTATTCGCGTCAGTCGTCGCCGTATCTCGATATTTATCCATTTATAATATAGGTGTATGACATTTCGCTTTTACCTCGCCATGCCGTCGGCCTTGCGTTCACTTCTTAGTTAGTTCATACTACTTACTACTTAGAGCGACCAACTAACACTCGCAAACTAATTATTCGACACTATTCAGTATACAGTTTTATTATTAACTAGTGTTAGTATAGATATTGTTAATGTTAATGTTGTAAATGTAAAGCTTTGCCATATCGACATAACGGTACAAGATTGTTTATATACATTTTATTTGAATAATTCTTCAAAGATTTTCATATGACACACTTGCATAAGTTGACTTATGCAGATTTATATTAGCTCGGAGACATTATTTTGTAATTTGATTGGAATTTTTAGAGAAGTAATATGCAATGGAAATAAGTGAATTTATTGAACGAGGGAAATTAATATACATAAATTATAGATAATATAATATGGTTTTTAGTGATAGCAGTCATATCAATTAAGCTGGTGATATTTAAAACTCATTTTTAGTTCAATTCAAATAATTTTATTTGAAATATAAATTATCACTTTATTTATTATTAACTTCTTGCAGAGTAAGTTATAGTGACCGCAAAAAAATCGAAAATGAAAATTTTTGCATTCTTTACGTTTCAGAGGTTTCTGAACATTTTGGCATACCTTAGAAAAATGAATGTATGTATGTGTGTGTAGTATGTAGGTACGAATATAATTTTTCGTCGACGTTTCCGGGATCCGATCAACCGATTTGAATTATTCAAAACGCTTTCGATTCCTATTAATGGGAAGATGTACTGATTAGGGGGCGTACATTAATAACGTTATCGATTTTTAGAGATTTTTAAATCCCTACCTCCCTCTTGGTAATTCGTGGTGATGTTAAGATTATCCCACCACCCTCCACTCAACATCACGTGCATTTTTAGTACTTAAAATAAAAGTTAATTTTTTGTCTAAATTTAGAATTATCCCACCATCCACCACTCAACATCAATTATATTTTTAGTACTTAAAATAAACGTTAATTTTCTGTTTAAATTTAGAATTATCCCACCACCCACCACTCAATATCAATTATATTTTTAGTACTTAAAATAAACGTTAATTTTCTGTTTAAGTTGAGAATTATCCCACCCCCTACCACTCAACATCAATTATATTTTTAGTACTTAAAATAAACGTTAATTTTCTGTTTAAATTTAGAATTATCCCACCATCCACCACTCAACATCAATTATATTTTTAGTACTTAAAATAAACGTTAATTTTCTGTTTAAATTTAGAATTATCCCACCACCCACCACTCAACATCAATTATATTTTTAGTACTTAAAAAAACGTTAATTTTATGTTTAAATTGAGAATTATCCCACCACCCACCACTCTACATCAATTATATTTTTAGTACTTAAAATAAATGTTAATTTTCCATTGAAATTTAGAATTATCCTACCACCCACCACTCAACATCAAGTATATTTTTAGTACTTAAAATAAACATAAATTTTCTGTTTTTTTGAAAAATTTTTGATTTTTTTTTAAAATCAGGTAAAAAATAAATACTAGACCTCTAGAATGATTCAAAATTCATTTTACTCGTGTTGACGAAATAAAGCAGTGGTTTTCCAACCATTTTTGCACCGCGTCCTCCTGCTCTAATAAAAAATATTGTTGCGCCCCCCTTAATTTTTTCAACACTTTAATTTTATAAATACTTAACTGATATTATCAGACTGCAAATTAATATGCAATATTATGTAAAAATATGCATAAAACTCATTAATTTTGTTTATTCTTTATATTGTCGATAATAGAGGGGGCGCGCCCCACAGGTTGGAAACCGCTGGAATAAAAGCATTGATTACAGTTTTGAAAGCAGATTCAGCAGCTTTAGAGATGCAGAAAAAAATGATAAAACTGACTTTTATTGGTCAAATATGCTCTTTACAAATCATTATTATTGAATCCTATACAAAG